CCCCAAAACCCCAAAACCCCAAAACCCCAAAACCCCTTATATAGTTCATAATGTTGATCCAAAATGGAACTTATTTCTTCTTTTTAGCTTTTGCTCCTCCTGACTTTTTCTTTTGCTGCTTAATCTGCTTAGGCTCAGCTGAGTGCGATCTTTTGTCACTATTTGAAGCTGACTTTTTGCTACCTTTTCCTTTTGCCTTTTTCTTTCCTGAGGTGGCAGTGCTTGAACCATCAGATGAAGATAGTTTGGAGCTGTCTTTCTTTCCTTTGCCTCCTTTACTGCTTGTTTTACTCTTTTCTTCTTCCATCTTTGATTCCATAAGTGCTTGCTCTTTCTCAAATGAGTCCAAGATCATAGAGTATCAGTCTTTCACTAGAGATGTGCTTTCACTCGACTTCAACAGGTTCAGTCAGAACTCTTTGCCCATCGACTTCATGATTGGCGGAGTGAAGTGGCAGTCCTGGTACTTGCCTCCGGTGGGTCCGCAGAACGAACACTCGAGAGTGTAGCTGTACTGAATGTTGCTCCTGAACATGACCACTCTGGCCGTCGACTCTTTGGTCTTTTGCACGTTGAAGTTGCAGTTTTCATAATCGAAGTTTTCTTCTCTCTGGCCAAGCATGAATGGGAAAATTCTTTCCTTCAGCTTGTTCGGACCTGTGAATTGGTTGCACCCATACATAAACAGGTTCTTGTTTCTAGAATGCCCGTGAATGTCACAGAAGAAGTAGATTGGCCTACTTTCAAGAGTCTTCTTGATCATAGTCATGCAAGCATAAATTTCTGGGTGAAGCTTTGGATTTGGAGCAGCCCATTGTCTGTTCAAGTCCACTCCAGCCAAGGATCAGCGGTAGTTGCCGATGATGACTCCGTCAGGGTTCAGCATCGGAATGATCTTGAACACAAACATGTCTCTCAGCTTGTTTGCTGGTGAGGCATCAGAGACCAAGTAATCTATGATTCCTTCCATGATGAAAGATGCGTTACTTTCACCGGGATGAACTCGTGCACTAAGAATAACTGCCTGCCGCTCTGCAATTTCTTCATCTTCGGATAAGAAGTTGGTAATGATGATCATATCAGAGTCATTACCTGCAAGAGTCTTGCACATGGAGGTCTTTCTGACTCTGTCTCGAGCATTACAGCGCTTGTTAATAAAGGTTTTAAGATCACTATAAGTATATGGATATCAATGAGCCATATACACTTCGTCGTGGTCATACTTGAACTATATACATTAGCGATATCAAGATCTTACGCTGAGAGTAAAGGTCATACAGTAGTTAAGCAGAGAGCCTTTCTTCTTGTTCGGGTTCTGGTAATATGCAATGTTGTCACCGACTCGTTGCCAGCTTCTCTTGTACTTCTCGTATTCTTTGCGAGAATACAGAATCGGAAGCATTCCATGGTTAAATAGAGAGTCTGACTTCTGATAGTTCCTAATATTAATAGTATATGTTTCCCCCTTCCTCGTGTTTAGGATCCTGAAGAAAAACCACTGTGTATAAGTGCCCGTTGAGTAGTCTGGGTTAAGGTATAGGTCGTACTCATAGTCGTCAGTTTGGATCACTCTTTTCAAGTTTCCGCTTTCAAACCTTGACTCGAAGACCAGTGTATCGTCGTACTCGTCTTTGAGTTTGTAATAGGGATTCAGGTATGTGTAGTACCGCATGACTCCATGGGTGGATGAGGCCTCTTTGAATTTGAAATAGCCTTCAGGAGCATAGGCTCCAGGCTTTCTGTCTTGGTCTGTCATTACAGGGTGCACATATTTAGTCTCGTCAAAGTATCTTTCAGACAGCGGCCCAGAGTTATTATAATAAGGCGAGAGTTCGACACAATCATAAACAACCCTCTCTTTGGAAGTGGCTGAAGCATCCTCCATTTTCTTTCTGTACATCTCGGCTAGTTCGGGACTGGAGGGGTACCCCACATGTTCGTACTCCGCAAAGGTGCCTTTGAAGATGGGTCTGTTCTGTAGATATCGTTCTTGGATTCCAGTTTTTGGCAAGTACTGAGGGTCAATCTCGACTTCATAACCTAAAGGCCGAATTATCTTATTTGTCTTCAGTGCTGGCTTTACTGTTAGACTTATCTTTGGATGCAGACTCGAAGCCATCTTTGACTCCGGGCTTGTTGGGGACACCTTCGTTGAAAAGAGAAGGGTTTTCTTTATCAATGGATGGGAATGAGTACCCGCTAGCTGGGGAAACCGAGGACTTTGAATGCATTTGTTCCATTTAAATTATATTGCTTTAAAAATCTAGGTGAGGGGTTTTGGGGTTTTGGGGTTTTGGGGTTTTGGGGTTTTGGGG